ATTCATTACTCACCCTCATAACTCTTAAGATCTTTTCAATTGCCTTTAACCACTTTTTAGCCTCTTATAAAGTCAATGCTCTTGCAAATTGGATTGGATTCAATCGCTTATACTTTTCAATATAACCTGGATCCATCGCTAGTGGAGTTGGGTTTAAGGTATAGGTGGAGGTGGATCATTGTCTGGTAGGTAGAATTGGTCATAATGACAACTCTTGATTGGTCAATGTTTGATAGTTCATCTGGTTTCATTATAACTCTCAGGAAATCTCCTATACGCAGAGCTGTTTCTTAATACTCTCTGCAAACTTATGGTGCTGGCTCTGTTTGGATGATTTATGAGGTTAGCATGGTACCACGGTGATATGAGAAGAAGGGAAGCAATTTCTTAGAAGAAGGAATTCAATATTATACCCTTTTGTTTCAGGGAAAAATAAAGAAGAAGAATGAAGCAATTATCTCTTATTCTCTTTTCTCTGATCTGCCTTGTGTTTTATTTGGAAGAAGAGGAATTACTTATAGGACTTTTAAAGATGTCTTTTTCTTTTGACACTTTTGGGGATGTTGTTTTCCTGATAGAACCAAAGATAGTTGGCTTTGGACCCTTTATTTTTTGTTTGCGTCATTCTCTCTCTATTAATGAATTTGGAGACCTTGTATATAAAATGTCTTTTTTGCATGGGAAGCACTTGCTTGATGTCTTGTTTACATTGTCCTGTATTTTCCTGTTTTAAAAGTAAAAGTTAGATTCACTGGAGAATTTAAATGCACGGATGTTGTTTTCCTGATAGAACCAAAGATAGTTGGCTTTGGACCCTTTATTTTTTGTTTGCGTCATTCTCTCTCTATTAATGAATTTGGAGACCTTGTATATAAAATGTCTTTTTTGCATGGGAAGCACTTGCTTGATGTCTTGTTTACATTGTCCTGTATTTTCCTGTTTTAAAAGTAAAAGTTAGATTCACTGGAGAATTTAAATGCACGGATTGCTGTCAGATGTGATGCTTTTATTGGCAGGTTTAATTTACCATTTCTAAAACTAGTGAACCATAGGAGTCATATATGATTGAGTCAATTCTTTTTCTTGGTAATTTTCCAAGTAATCTTATTGGAGATTACCTGTTCTTTTCTGAAATTGTTGTTCCAGGTTCTTTTTAGGGCATGAAACTCGCAGTTAACCTAATTATAAAAGATTGTAAATTAATCTTAGCTAAGGATATATCTTGTTTGTCATATTTTCAAATCTGGAACTGTGGACTTAGCCTGTTAAAAGACCATCTATTTCAGAATGATTTCACTGTCTGGCAAAATAATTCTACACTTTGGATTTTTTTTCTCACGTCTTGTTCAATATACAGGAACTTGCCTTACCACCGAGGAATGCCTCTTGAATAAAAACAGGAACCGTCATTTGACGAAAGAGCAGATAGAGGAAGAGCTTATGGCATACCTTGGAGTCACGAAGGTCATTTGGTTGCCTCGTGGATTATATGGTATTTAGTTTTGATATGATTGATCGTTTTTTCAGTAAAAGGCTTGATCTTCTTCTGCATTTTTAATGGAATATTTTCTCTAAATACACTCTACCCCCACTCCCTTTTAGCATTATAAAATTCTGCTGAACTTTTTAGTATGCTATACACTTCTGGGATTCTGTTCTTAGTGAAATTGGTTTTGCTTTTGGGTTGTGTTGATTTTTGTCTTCAAAATAATACATAAATATTGATAGGTAGTTTAATATAGTGGTAATATCTATTATGGTGTTTAACAGGTGATGATGATACTAATGGTCATATTGATAATATGTGCTGCTTTGCGAAGCCTGGTGTGGTTTTGTTGTCTTGGACTGACGATGAAACAGATCCTCAGTATGAAAGATCAGTAGAAGCCTTATCTGTTCTCTCCAATGCTACTGATGCTAAGGGCCGGAAATTACAAGTGATTAAAATCCATGTGCCGGGGCCACTTTATATGACAGAAAAAGAAGCTGCAGGAATTTTTCAGGCAAGCATTTTGATACACTGGAAATTTTCTCTCATCTCTATATTAAGTTTCGTCTATTTAGAAGAAATGGTAGAAAAGTTTTGTTAATAATAATCAGAATGCACTTCTGGCAATAGATGAAGTCTGTGGATAGACTACAGTTTGCTTCCATAGTTGCATGGTAGGGACTTATAGGGAGCAGGTCTCTCTCCTGTCATTCTGAAGTTTTTATAGAAAAAGAATATTGTTAGAAAGAAGATAAAAAGTTACAATAGCAGGGGATAACGCATCCTCCTAAAAGAACAAACGAAGAAAAAAAAAAGAGGGAAGAAAACGTAACAATGGATCAATACTGCTTTTCGATCTGGCCTAAAGGTAGCCAAAAAGACATTTCCAAATATTGTGAGTTTTGGCCCAGAAAGAAGTAAAAAAAAATTAATGTTTTCAAAAGAAAGATGCAAGTAAGTGACACCCCCCTAGAAAATCAGTGGAGGGATATTATGTCGTGGTTGTTGCTCTAACTACTGCAGCTCATTTGCTCATCGGTGTTGGGGCTGCATTTCTTCCTG